ATGTCTGTGATGATATCCTACATGTCACAGTGAATCTGTTCATATTCCTTTGTATAATCTATTGATCTAACTTTAAATTCTGTTATTCTCCAGTTCAAGTCTATTATTGAACCTCTCTAGTGAATTTTGCATTATAGTTACATTTAATTCTAAAATTGCTACTCAGTTTTTAAGATATCTGTTCTTAATATTGATGATACTAATGGTCATCGTACTTTGTTTACACATGGTATCCTTTTGTTCTTTGAACATGTTTGTAATACCTGATTTGACATCTTACCTGCTTAAGTGTGATATCTGGTCCTCTCACAGGCAGCTTCTGTTCCTTTTTTTTTTCTTAATCCTTTGTATAGATTCACCTTCCTGTTCCATTTTTTGTTGTTGAAAAATGTGTATTTTAGAAAATGTATTTTGTCTATCTCTGTAGGGCTTGTTTTCTTGGCTACTAAAATAAACCAGAAAAGTTTCAGTTTTGTTCCTGTAACAGGGCAAAAGCTCTGAAGTCACCTCACAGAGGGTGGAGTTCTAGATGTGCATTTAATCATCAGGGAATGACAGTGGTTTTAGCAGTCTGATCTCTTTTTTATACTGCCTGCCTCTGACACCCAACCGATAAGCTCCATTCATTGCCTGCTAAGTGTTGTTTTACTTTGGACCAATGCCCAGTACATAGAGTACCCTATGGTTTCATCCAATTAAATTCTGGCCCCTTAGCAGGGTTTGTTTGTGAAGCCAGTATTTGAGGTTTGCTCTGACTCGGGGGATTGGCGGGAGGTTCTTGTTAGCTGTCTCTTGTTCTGGTTGTCTCTGATACACTAGCTTGCCTATGGTTCAGCTTTTTGCTCTCATGAAGCCATCCCCTTGCTCTTAATTGCTTACCATGCTGATCTCTGTTTGAGAGTGTATTTATCCTTCAACTTTCTCACACTCACTTCCAATTAAGTGAATTCCCTTGGGGCAAGCTTCATCGTTGTCTGTTATTAGAGCTTGTCTTTCTCCCTGTGAAAAGTCACCATGCCTATATCTCGGGGCTATTGGTAGGCATGCGGTTTGAGCAACACCACTTCTTCATGGTAAGGTGCTGCCTGGAGGCAATAGGCTCCTCTTCTGTTGCCTCTTCCAGCACAGAACCTCTGCCCTCTGTGTGAACTGGGCCAAGGGGGATGAGGGCCCCAGTGTTCTCTGCCTACCGTGCAAGGAGTAGGTCTTCCCTCTGTGGGTGGAGGCTGTGTGGGAGAAGGACTCTCTTACCACCTCCTGGCCACACTAGTCTGTAATTGAGCCTCTGTGTCTTGGAGTTGAGTGGGCTGGGAAATGATGCACTCTGCCCCTACCCCTTGGAGCCAGGGATGCAGGGAGGTCTGTCTTCTTGGCCACACCTACCCTGAGTGGAACTTGAGTTACACTGAGCTGGGTGTTGTGGAATGAAGGAAAAAAGGGATGATGGTTCTAGTACCACAGGCTTCATTCCTTCTAAAATTTAAGAGAGATTCTTAAATGTTAACTTGTTGAATGCCCTTAGGACAACTTTCAAAGACTTTAAATGGTTGTTTTTGAAAGATGCTTTTCTTTAGTTACAGTTGTTTTGCTGGGAAGAGACTCTGCACAACTCTTGGTGACATTTTGTATATCTCATGTTCTGTTAATGTTATGTCATAGTCTGGCATAGAGTGAACTATAAGTAGTTTAAATAGAGCTATGTTTTTTCCCTTAAAAAGCACTATGTACATGTGTGCATTCCTTTCCTGTCTTGTCTTCTGAAACCTCTGCTGATAGGTGCTAGCTTGACAAGTTGGGTTTGCTCTTTTTTTTTTTTTTTTTTAAATTTTGTTGGAGTATAGTTGATTTATAATGTTGTGTTAGTTTCAGGTGTATGGCAAAGTGAATCAGACTTTATATATATATATATGTATATATATATATATATAAAATCTTCACTCTGTTTTAGATTCTTTTCCCATAGAAGTCATTACACAGTAATGAATAGAGTTCCCTGTGCTGTATAGTAGGTCCTTATTAGTTATCTATCTTATATAGTGTGTATATGTTAATCCCAACTTCCCAATTTATCTCTCCCCCCACCTTACTCCCTTGTAACCGTAAGTTTGTTTTCTACATCTGTAACTCTATTTCTGTTTTGTAGATAAATTCACTTGTACCCTTTTTTTTAGATTCCACATATAAGCAATATCATGCAATACTTGTTTTTCTCTGTTGGACTTCACTCAGTATGACACTCTGTAGGACCATCCATGTTGCTGCAAATGGCATTCTTCCTTTTTTATGGCTGAGTAATATTCCATTGTATATATATATGTTCCACATCGTCTTTACCTGTTTCTTTGTTGATGGACATTTCAGTTGCTTCTATGTCCTGGCTATTGTGAATAGTGCTTCAGTGGACATTGGAGTGCATGTATCTTTTTGAATTATAGTTTTCTCTGGATATATGCTCAGAAGTGGGATTGCTGGATCAGCTAGTCTATGACAAAGGAGGCAAGAATAAACCCAACTTGTCAAGCTAGCACCTATCAGCAGAGGTTTCAGAAGACAAGACAGGAAAGGAATGCACACATGTACATAGTGCTTTTTAAGGGAAAAAACATAGCTCTGTTTCAACTACTTATAGTTCACTCTATGCCAGACTATGACATAACATTAACAGAGCATGAGATACACAAAATGTCACCAAGAGTTGTGCAGAGTCTCTTCCCAGCAAAACAACTGTAACTAGAGAAAAGCATCTTTCAAAAACAACCATTTAAAGTCTTTGAAAGTTGTCCTAAGGGCATTCAACAAGTTAACATTTAAGAATCTCTCTTAAATTTTGGAAAGAATGAAGCCTGTGGTACTAGAACCATCATCCGTTTTTTCCTTCATTCCACAAGAATATACAGCAAGAATATACAGCTGGAGAAAATGCAGTGTCTTTGATGAGTGGTGCTGGGAAAACTGGACAGCCACATGTAAAAGAATGAAACACAAAAATAAACTCAAAATGGATTAAAGGCTGGATACTATATAACTCTTAGAGAAAAACATAGAACACTCTGACATAAATCACAGCAAGACCTTTTTGGTTCTGCCCCCTAGAGTAATAAAAATAAAACCAAAAATAAACCCCAAAATAAACAAATGGGACCTAATGAAACTTAAAAGCTTTTTGTGCAACAAAGGAAACCATAAACAAAATGAAAAGACAACCCTCAGAATAGGAGAAAATATTTGCAAATGAAGCAACTGACAAGGGATTGATCTCTAGAATACACAAATAGCTCACACAGCTCAATATTAAAAGAAAAAGATATCTCCAGAGAAGATATACAGGTGGCTAAAGAGCTCATCTTTTCAAGATGCTCAACATCACTAATTATTAAAGCAACGCGAATCAAAACTGCAATGAGGTATCACCTCTCACTGGTCAGGATGGCCATCATCATAATGTCTACACATTGTAAATGCTGGAGAGGGTGTGGAGAGAAGGTAGCCCTCCTCCACTGCTGGTGGTCACGTAAACTGGTACAGCCACGAGGAGAACTGCATGAAGGATCCTTAAAAAACTAAAAATAGAGCTACCAAAGGGCTTGCTCTTTACCTGTCTTTCATCCACTTGGACATAATCACTCCTTATCAGCCCTGGCTGTCTCTTCGCTTTTGCTTTTACGCCTAGGCCCCACATCTCTGCTTGAGTCATTGGAAATGGTGACACGGTTTATACACTGTCTGCGTGTCTCACACATTAGCTTTGATTTTCAGCCAATCCCTTGGCCTTTGTAAACTAGTTTGTGGACAGTCTGTCTTTCTCAGATGTGGTCTCCTGGAGACCAAATTCTTCTTAGGTGTTAATGTTATGTGCTGTATTTCTATGAAAGATAAGACATTTTACAATTAATCTAAGACTGTTGGGTTAATTATCCTAACTGGGAATTTCATTTTAAGGCTACTTCACCAAGGTGGCTGTATGGTATGGACCTTCAAGACTATATTACAGTGTAACTTTATTAAAGGTAAAGGGAAAAACTGTCAGATAAGGTGTCTTTTTAAAATTTAGATGCATCTATTAATGAGACGGAGCTTTCATCAGAGCAGTTGAAATCAGTGGACATTTTGCCTCGGGGAGCTTCACATGGATGCTGTGTTTGAAGGGAGCTGTTTTTCACAGGAATTAGAGCAAGGCAGAAATTCATTGTCATTTGGTTGGTGGCAGAGCTCATTTTGGAGATCTTAGGGAATGTGTTTTTTTCCTTAATGATCTAATGTGTAAATTAAATACTTGAAGGCACATTAACAAGTAAATATTCATGTGCAACCCATTTCATTCCTGGACAATAGTCTCTTTCTGTCTCCCATCTTCAGGGACTGTCCAATTTTATCTGAGCATCCTTTCTTAGTATTTGACTTCAATAGCCTGTGATGAAAAGGATTTTGGACCCATAATGAAGAATTATTTATATCTCTTACTGTATAGAACTGTAGTGGTTTGAGATTGGTGGGTTTTTTGGCTGCACTGGGTCTTTATGCTGTGCACGGGGTTTCTCTAGATGTGGCGAGCAGGGGCTGTTCTTGAGTTGCGGTACCCGGGCTTCTCATTGTGGTGGCTTCTCTTGTTGTGGAGCGTGGATTCTAGGGCTCATGGGCTTCAGTAGTTGTAGCTTGCCGGCTCAGTAGTTAACGGCTCCAGGGCTCTAGAGCATGAACTTAACAGTGGCGCACGGGCTTTGTTGCTCTGCGACTTGTGGAATCTTCATGGGTCAGGGATCAAACTCATGTCTCCTGCATTGGTAGATTCTTATCCACTGCGTCACCAGGGAAGTATTGAGACTGGTCTTTGATTGTAAATGATTTTATTTATGAGCAAAAATAAAGACTTGTTTGAATATTTTCTTGAGGTAGCTTGTTGGAGGTATAAGATCCGTTTCAAGACAGATCCAGAGTTCAGAACTTTTAGATTTTTTTTAGGTGATGTAAATGTGTCATTTGCATCTCTGTTTGTTCTTTAGGCCTCAGGAGCAATCCGACCTCTTGTATCTACTGTCATCAGTCCGTCTGCAGACAGCTGCTTAGACCACTCCCTGGAACGTGCCAGACACAGGGCAAGTGAAATGCCACAGGCCTTTCTATTTGATGTGATCTATGAAGCATATCAGCAGGTAAGAATCTTGGCTTTTTGAAAATCTACCATATTGGGCATCTGTAAGAACCACTCCCATATGTGGAGATTAGCTAGAAGAACTCATGGTGCTCTAGAGTGAACTCAAGACGCAAATTAATTAGAGTGAAGTTGGATCATGTGAGTCAAAGACGTAGACAGAGTCTGGAGGAGTCCATGTGACATCTTCCTCTTGATCTGTCCCCTTCAGGATGACCCAAAGCACACCTTCCTTCCAGCAACGACAAGGCAGCAGCATGGGTGTGATGCTTCTTTCCAGGGAAGCCCATTAGAGACTTGGTGTCTTAAAGGCACTGGGTTGGTCATGTAGATACTTCTGCCTTGCACTTAAATTTCAGATTCCCAGGAGGAAAGCAGGTGTTCAGCATAAACCATATTGTTTACATGGACATTTAGGCACAGTGAACCACTCTTACCAGTTAACTATTCCCTGGAAACACGCCAAGAAACAAACTCCCTGACGCTGGCCGAGGGCCTGCCTGGTGAGTGGGTCTTTGAAAGTTAAGCAGTCTCAGCCCTACCGTAGTAAACAATCTGCACAGCTGTAGAGACATTGTGTTAAAATTTTAAAGGTAAGTGATTTCAAAATACCAAGTCATTCATGTTTAGATTGTACTGAATTATCTTTGTTTTCATGTTTTGGAAACATTTTTGTACCTGTAAATTTTACTGCTATTCATTTCTGTGTTTATTCATTAAACAGTTATTAAACATCAGGTATTATGCTTGACAGAAACTTTCCAATGAAATAGGATCATTGCAACAACTAAAGCAGTGCTTGGCTGATGTTAAATAGTCAGTAAATAGAGATGGATGGACTTTAGGGATATATGAGATAATAGTAACATAAATATTGACATTTTATAATAAAAGAATACCACTATTTGGATAGTTGTTCAGTTGCTAAGTTGTGTCCAACTCCTCTGGAACCCCATGGACTATAGTCTACCAGGCTCCCCTGTCCATGGGATTTTCTAGGCAAGAATACTAGAGTGGGTTGCCATTTCCTTCTCCAGGGCATCTTCTCAACTCAGGGATTAAACTCATGTCTCCTACCTTGGCTGGAGGCTTCTTTACTACCGAGGCAGCAGGAAAGCCCACATTTTGGATAAAAAGTAATTACATAATGAATCAATCTTGATTTATCAATTACTGTTTTAAATGTTGAATTCTCAGTAAATGAGAACCAGTTTTCATGGTATGAATAGTTGATCATGGTTTGTTTTCTTAAAATTTGCTGCACAGAAATTTACCTACATTTGGTCATTAACCAAATGTTACGCTGTTAAAAATCCTAAAAAGCTTAAATCTTGCTGAGCTAGACATCTGCTTAATATTTCTAATATTTTTTAAGATTAATGAAAGAATTTATTCATATTTATGTGAGCGTTTGCTTTAAGAAGAAGAATGTTAGCTCTATTTTAGAAAATTTAATACGATCCTATGATCTTCACATTAGAGTAGTATGTTTCAACAGTTTTTGGTAGAGAATTAGGCCCTGAAGCACTGAGGTACTGATTCTCAAATTATAGTTACCAGACCAGCAACCTAAGCATATTTTAGATTTTGTTAAAATGCAAATTCTGGGCCTTTACCTCAGACCTACTTAGTTAGAAACTCTGGCAACGGAAACACCAATTTGTGTTTTAACAAACAAGCCTGCCATGTGATCCTGATTAACCCTGAATTTTGGGAACCAAAATTTACCACATACAACCCTAAGGTATTCATTGTATGTGGTTAAGTCTCTTCCATTGCATTCTTTGGAGAATTGAGAATGAAGTCACACAAAACCAACTCTTCTATGGTTCAGAGGAGGAATGCTCACAGCATCTTGGAGGTTTTGATGCAAGTTCTTATGAAAGTCATTTTTGATCATAAAGTCATTCATAAGAAAGTTTGTATAAAATATTTCTCATGTATACTATTTATGTACATATATATTCTAGTTTTAAAAAGTAGAGAAGAGTAAAACAGGACAGAGTTCCAGGGGTGGGAAGTCATTTTCTATAGATTGATCAGAGATGCCCTGTAAAAAGGTAAAATTTAAGCCAGCATTGAGAAGTGAGTGAGGAGATAAGTTGTGCAGGTAACTGAGATCATTATTTTAGGTACAGGATGCAGAATCTAAAAAGGTGGAGTGAGGCCTGAGAAGAATGACATCATGGAGGGAAGTAGGAGATTTGGTTAGGGAGGCTCTGTGTGTGGTGTCTCGTAGGGTCTTAAGGCAATGATATGGGCTTTAGGTTTTACCTTGAACGAAAAGGGAACTTTAGATGGTGCTGTGTGAAGTCCCACTTCTATGGGACCACCCTATCCCTTGTGGGGATGGTACCTTACAGAAGGTAAGGGAAGAAGTAAGCTATTGTGATGATCAAGGCAAAGATGATGACAATTACGGCAATTTGTGTAGTATAGTATTTGGGGTGAAGTGTTTGTGTTCTGAAGAGATTTAGAGGTAAAATGAGGATAAACCATTTAGTCAGGGATCAGGTATCAGAATGGGAAGACCAGTGGGTCCAAGGATTTGCTCTGAATAACTAGAACACAGTGGTCCTTTATTGAGATAGGAAGTGCTAGGGAAGAGAGTTTTGTATGATAAGATCAAAAGTTTGCTTCTGTTGTACTAAGTTTGAGGTTTCCTGTAGACATTGTAAAAAATGTGAAGAAGATAGTTGAATATATGAAGCTATAATTCTGTGGAAAGGTCCAGATAAAGATAGGCACTTGACTTCCTGTAGAGCTCAGGGAACCCTACTAGTGCTCTGTGGTGACCTAAGTGGGAAATAAATCCAAAAAAGAGGTGGTACATGTGTATAGCTAACTCACTTTGTTGTACAGTAGAAGCCAACACATTGTAAAGCAACTAGACTCCAGTGAAAAATTAATAAAAAGGTAGAGAAGAGCTAATGCCTATCCTTCTTAAACTCTTTCATGAAGTTTCAGAGGAAGGAATACTTTCTAACTCATTCTACGAGGCCATCATCACCGTGATACCAAGACCAGACAAAGACAACACAAAAAAAGAATACTACAGGCCAGTATCACTGATGAACATAGATGCAAAAATCCTCTACAAAATTTAGCAAACAGAATTCAGCAACACATCAAAAAGCTCATATGCCATGATCAAGTTGGGTTTATTTCAGGGATGCAAGGATTCTTCAATATATGCAAATCAATCAATGTGATCTACCATATTAACAAGTTGAAAGATAAAAACCATATGATCTCAGTAGATGCAGAAAAAGCCTTTGACAAAATTTGGCACCCATTTATGATTAAATGGGCCTAGGAGGAACCTACCTGAACATGGCCATATATGATAAGACTACAGCAAACATTATTCTTAATCGTGAAAAACTGAAAGCATTCCCCCTAAGATCAGGAACAAGACAAGGGTGTCAACTTTCACCACTATTATTCAAGATCATTCTGGAAGTCCTAGCTACAGCAATCAGAGAAGAAAAAGAAATAAAAGGAATCCAGATTGGAAAAGAAGAAGTAAAGCTCTCACTGTTTGCAGATGACATGATACTGTACATAGAAAACTCTAAAGATAGTATCAGAAAATTACTAGAGTTAATCAGTGAATATAGCAAAGTTGCAGGATACAAAATCAATACACAGATATCACTTGCAGTTCTATATATTAGCAATGAAAAATCAGAAAGAGAAATTAGGGAATCAATCCCTTTTGCCATTGTGACTAAAAGAATTAAATATCTAGGAATAAACTTACCTAAGGAGAAAAAAGAACACAGAAAATTATAAGACATTAATGAAAGAAATCAAAGATGACATAAACAGATGGAGAGATATTTTATGTTCCTAGATAGGAAGAATCAATATTGTGAAAATGGCTATACTACCAAACTCAGTCTACAGATTCAATGTGATCCCTATCAAATTACCAATGACATTTTTCACAGAACTAGAACAAAACATTTCACATTTCAGATGGAAACACAAAAGACCCCGAATAGCCAAAGCAGTCTTGAGAAAGAAGAATGGAGCTGGAGGAATCAGCCTTCCTGACTTCAGATTGTACTACAAAGCTATAGTCATCAAGACAGTCTGGTACTGGCACAAAAGCAGAAATGTGAAACAAGATAGAAAGCCCTGAAATAAACCCTTCCCCTGTGGGTACCTTATTTTTGACAAAGGAGGCAAGAGTATACAATGGGGCAAAGACAACTTCTTCAGTAAATGGTGCTGGGAATACTGGACAGCTACATGTAAAAGAATGAAATTAGAACACTTTCTAACACCATACACAAGGATAAACTCAAAATGGATTAAAGACCTACATGTAAGCCCAGAAACAGTAAAACTCCTAGAGGAAAACATAGGCAGAACACCTGATGACAAAGCAAAGCAAAATCCTCTATGACCCACCTCCTAGAGTAACAACAATAATAACAAAAGTAAACAAGTAGGACCTGATTAAGCTTAAAAGCTTTTGCACAGCAAAGGAAACTATAAATGAGATGAAAAGACAACCCTCAGAATGGGAGAAAATAATAGTAAATGAAACAACTGACAAAGGATTAATTTCCAAAATATAGAAGCAGCTCATACAACTCAATGCCAGAAAAACAAACAACCGAATCAAAAAGTGGGAAAAAGACCTAAGCAGACGTTTCTCCAAAGAAGACGTACAGATGGCTAACAGCACATGAAACGATGCTCAACATCGCTCATTATTAGAGAAATGCAAGTCAAAACTACAATGAGGTATCACCTCACATTGGTCAGAATGGCCATCATCAAAAGGTCTACAAACAATAAATGCTGGAGAGGCTGTGGAGAAAAGGAATGCTTTTGCACTATTGGTGGGAATGTAAATTGATACAGCCACTATGGAAGGTGGTATGGAGATTCCTTAAAAAACTAGGAACAAAGCCACTATATGACACAGCAGTCCCACTCCTAGGCATATACCCAAAGGAAACCAAAATTGAAAGAGACACATGTGTCCCATTGCTCATTGCAGCACTATTTACAGGAGCTAGAACATGGAAGCAACCTAGATGTCCATCGACAGATGAATGGACAAAAGTTGTGGTACATATACACAATGGGATATTACTCAGCTATAAAAAGGAATGCCTTTGAGTCAGTTCTAGTGAGATGGATGAACCTAGAACCTATTACACAGAGTGAAGTAAGTCAGAAAGAGAAAGAAAGATATTGTGTTCTAACACATATATACAGAATCTAGAAAAACGGCACTGAAGAATTTATTTACAGGGCAGCAGTGGAGAAACAGACAGAGATAATAGGCTTGTGGACATGGGGAGAGGGGAGGAGAGGGTCAGACATATGGAAAGAGTGACATGGAAACTTACATTACCATACGTAAAATAGATAGCCAGTGGGAATTTGCTGTGTGGCTCAGGAAACTCAAACGGGGGCTCTGTATCAACCTAGAGGGGTGGGGTGGGGAGGGAGGTGGGAGGGAGGTTCAAAAGGGAGGGGATATATGTATGCCTATGGCTGATTGATTCATGTTGAGGTTTGACAGAAAACAACAAAATTCTGTAAAGCAATTATCCTTCAATAAAAAAATAAATTTCTAAAAAAAGATAGGCACTTGACAATTGTCATCTTTCAGACACTTAATGCTGTGGCATTGACTGAGATAACTAGAAAAACCGGTAGAGAGAAAATAGGAGTGACAAAGGCTGAATCCTGGGGCAGTCAAAGATTTTCAGTTTGGAAAGATGTATTAGTTTCCTATTACTGTTGAAACAAATTATCACTCTCAGAGAATTGAAAAAAGAACTTTAAAATTCTGGAGATCAGAAATCTAAAATCAAGGTGACAGGGCTGTGTTTCTTGAGACTGCCATGGAGACTATTTCCTTGGCATTTCTAGTTTCTAGAGGCCACTTCCATTCTTGGCTCCTGGCCTGTCCTTCATACCACTCCAAACTCTTGTGTTCAGTGTTAACTGTCTTCAGTGCCCTGCCTTCCTCTGAGAAGAATTCTAGTGATGGCATCAGGCCCACCTAGATAATCCAGGATAATCTCCCCATCTCAAAGTCTCTAATGTTATCTTCAAAGTCCCTTTACCATATTAATGGACATACTCAGATTCTGGGAATTAGGAAATGGGTATCTTGGGAAGGACATTTTTTAGGAGAGGAGTGGCCACAGACTAAGAAGGTGATGTCCCAGGAGCCTAGTGAAGGAGTTCAAGAATGATTCAGTGCTCCATAATGGTTTCAAAAGTAGAGAGGATTGAGAACTGACATAAGCCTTACTCATGTGAGATGAGCGGTGTTTGAAGGGTAGTGGTAGCCACAGAAGCCTGGGTGTAATTGAATGGCTAGAGAATAGGAGGGCCGCTCCTTATAGGAACTTCCTTGCATATGGAGGAGACAAATGGGGGTAACCGAAGGGGGTTATAAACTAAGACTTTTTTTTTATTAAGGGGGATGACCTAGCATGTTGATTGTAGTTATTGTTGTCCTGTCACTAAGTTATGTCTGACTCTTTGTGACCCTATGGACTGCAGCACGCCAGGCTTCTGTGGTCCTTCACTATCCCTGGAGTTTGCTTAAGCCCATGTCCATTGAGTCAGTGCTGCCACTCAACCATCTCATCCTCTGTTGCCCCTTTCTCCTCCTGCCCTCAATCTTTCCCAGCATCAGAGTCTTTTCCAGTGAATTGGGGTCTTCACATCAGGTGGCCGAAGTATTGGAGCTTCAGCATCAGTGCTTCCAATGAATATTCAGGGTTGAGTTCCTTTAGAATCGACTGGTTTGATTTCCTTGCAGTCCAAGGGACTCTCAGTCTTTTCCACCACCATCAGTTCTTCAATGATTAGCCTTCTTTTTGATCCAAATCTCACATTTGTATGTGACTACTGGAAAAACCATAGCATTGACTATGGCAAACCATTGACAAAACTAAAGCAAAACAAATAAACAAACAAACAAAAAAAAAAAAAACTAAAGCAAACCAAACCATTGGCAAAATGATGTCTCTGCTTTTTGATACACTGTCTAGGTTTGTCACCGTTTCTTCCAAGGAGCAAACATTTTATTTCTAGGTTACAGTTACCATCCACTGTGATTTTGGAGCCCAAGAAAATAAAATCTGTTACTGCTTCCACTTTTTTCTCTGACTGTTTGCCATGAGGTGATGGGATTGGATGCCATGATCTTAATTTTCAGAGTGTTGAGTGAAAGCCACCTCTTTCACTCTCCTCTTTCACCCTCATCAAGAGGCTCCTTAGTTCCTCTTCACTTTCTGCCATTGGAGTGATATCATCTCTTTATATGAGGTTGTTGATATTTCTCCTGGCAAACTTGATTCTAGCTTGTGATTCATCCAGGCTGGCATTTTGCATGATGTTCTCTGCATATAAGGTAAATAAACAAGATGATTATATACAGCCTTGACATACTCCTTTCCTAATTTTGAGTCATTCACGTGTTCCATGTAAGGTTCTAATTGTTGCATCTTGACCTGCATTCAGGTTTCTCAGGAGACAGGTAAAGTGGTCTGGTATTCCCATCTCTTTAAGAATTTTCCACAGTTTATTGTAATCCACTCAATCAAAGGGTTTAGCATAGTCAGTGAAAAAGAGGTAGTTGTTTTTCTGAAATTCCCTTGCTTTTTCTATGATCCAGTGAATGTTGGCAATTTGATCTCTGGTTCCTCTGCCTTTTCTAAATCCAGCTTGAACATCTGGAAGTTCACGGTTCACGTACTGTTGAAGCCTGGCTTGAAGGATTTTGAGCATTAGCTTGCTAGCTTGTGAAATGAGCACAATTGTACAGTAGATTGAACATTCTTTGGCATTGTCCTTCTTTGGGGTTGGAATGAAAACTGACCTTTTCCAGTCCTGTGACCACTGCTGAGTTTTCCAAATTTGC